ATACATGTAGCTGTTACAGGGACTCATTGATACCTGAAGCTGCTACAGAGACTCAGGTGATACCTGAGGCTGTTACAGAGATTCCGTTGATACCAGAGGCTGCTACAGAGATTCAGCTGATACCTGAAGCTGCTACAGAGACTCAGGTGATACCTGAGGCTGTTACAGAGATTCCGTTGATACCAGAGGCTGCTACAGAGATTCAGCTGATACCTGAAGCTGCTACAGAGACTCAGGTGATACCTGAGGCTGTTACAGAGATTCCGTTGATACCAGAGGCTGCTACAGAGATTCAGCTGATACCTGAAGCTGTTACAGATACTCAGCTGATACCTGAAGCTGTTACAGAGACTCATTGATATATGAAGCTGCTACAGAGACTCCTAGCTGATACCTGAGACTGCTACCAAGGCAAATCTTTTAACAACAGTTGAGATGAGACTAGCTGTCCTAGGACTCGCTAGGACTCGCTCAAAATTAAGTATTGCCCACCTGTTAATAATTATCTTATTAATAATTATCTTTTTAATAATTGTCTTATTAATATACCAACCTGTCTTTCCAATATTTATAACAATACACGAGCACACTAAAAAATGCACGTGATACTGCAGCTGTTAAAGTGATTACGTCACCGTAAATAGTAAAAGTAAAAATATTTCCACTCACAAAATGTAAGTAATTCAGTTCAATTTTTATGGTTAAATTGCTACATTATACTTCCTATATTCTTATATTGTTCGATGTAAACATACACTCGTGACTCATACATAGCCCATAGCAAGCGATTAATGTCAGGATAATAATATCAAATCGTCCAGATTTTTAACTAGTTTATCAGGTAAGAATTTTACGATACATTTAGTCTTACTCTTAATGTAAAAAAATGGCAACAAAAATTTTACAAATATACACCATAGAAAATTCGTGACGTAGTCAATTTAAAGACAAACGAATCGTTGAAGACATTCAGAAACAGACGGAACATCGTGAACAGACGAGTCACGATCGTCCTCATTTTAATGTAATTTAATATACGTATACCCATACATAATACGTATATACGCACGGGGGTAGACAGTCATACGGACGGACAGACTCTTCTTCTTCTTCTTCGTCTTCGTCTTCTTCTTCTTCTTCTTCTTCTTCTTCTTCTTCTTCTTCTTCTTCTTCTTCTTCTTCTTCTTTTTCTTCTTCTTCTTCTTCTTCTTATTCTTCTTCGTCTTCTTCTTCTTCTTCTTCTTCTTCTTCTTCTTCTTCTTCTTCTTCTTCTTCTTCTTCTTCTTTTTCTTCTTCTCCTTCCTCTTCCTCTTCCCCTTCCCATTCTTCGTGTTCCTCTTCTTCCTCTTTCGCTTCCCATTCTTCGTGTTCCACTTCTTCTTCTTCTGCTTCTTCTGCTTCTCCTTCTTCTGCTGCTTCTACTTCTTCTACTGGGATGAGGAGCCGACTGTGTGCGCAAAGACTTGCATGGCGACATCAGCTGGGCATTGACTCCACAGTTCAATGGAGCTTGGGAAGAATCTCTGATACTAGAGCCTTACAGAGAACTCTGTACCATTTTCTTACCGTTTAGATTACCTATGTAATCTGAATAACTGTGACACCATAAAGCTGGGTTTAAGCTATCAACTGTCTGTTGAAAAGTTGACGAGTTGGTCGAACTAATCGACCAATATTCGGCAGTGTAAACGTAAAAGTTTAGCGCTCAACTAGTTGATATCAACTAGTTGAGAAATTTTGAATGTACTATTTTGACAAATTTTGGTCAGCGAGTTGATAATTTTTTTTTGCAATGCAGCCATTCTGATAATAGCAATCAGGAGGTGTGTCCTTCCACGCAGGGCGAGATTATTTCCGCGGCCGTTTTTGCTATCGGCGCCACACGGGCACACCAATACATGCAAAAATGCGTATCAACATCGCCCCGCGCGCACACTGCGGATGAAATGTTGAAACGATTGCGACTCGCGGTCGATAATGTAAATACATTGAACATCGTATAGAAATGTTGATAGAACGTTGCAAAATTGCTCAACTCGTCACCATTTCACCTAAAAGTTGATAGCGTAAGTCCAGGTTAACACGGTGGCCAGCGTTTAGTCATGATAAGCCTATATAAGAATTATGTTCCACGTTTAGAGAAACAAATTGCAGTAGAAAATAGCTCGAGATAAAAGTTCATCAATATTTGGCCCGTATCGCATATTATCTCTCTCTCTCTGTCTCTTTCTCTCTCTCTCTCTCTCTCTCTCTCTCTCTCTCTCTCTCTCTCTCTCTCTCTTCTCTTTCTCTCTCTCTATCTTTTTCTCTGTCTATCTCTCCCTTTCTCTCAACCTTTCTCCCTCTCTTTCTCTCACACTCTTTCTCTATCTATCTTTCTTCCCCCACCTGTAGGTAATGGGTTATCATTACGTCATGACAATAATAATTTAGCATTACTGACCGAAACTTTAGTTAAAATTATTCGGTGATGTTACCGCAAATGAGCGATAGTGATGATGAATGAGTGATGAGTGAATGAGTGTCAATGATGATGAATGATCATGAGTGACAAATGAATGAGCGACAGTGATTATGAATGAGTGATGAATGAGTAATGAATAAATGAGTGACAATGAATGAGTGACGAATGAATGATGACAATGATGAATGAGTGATGAATAGATGAGCACCAGTGATGATGAATGAGCGATGAACAAACGAACACCACTGATTACGAGTGAACGACACACGCCTCTTTGTGCTGCAGGACAGTGCACCGATAGATCCAGACTCGCCGCCGAACTCAACTTGGAGATGTCGATATGACAGCGTTCGTACGTTGGTTGGTCACCGAGGCAACGAGCACATCCCTCTGGACCGAGAACAGTGCCAGATGAGTTGGTGTATAGTGTACATAACCGATAGTTGTATCGTGAGGAATGGGAGCGGCAGGAGTTACGAAGCAACGTCGCACGCGGAGATACGGACGTGACGGTCATGGCACGTAGCTGTCCGTTGGTGCTCATCAGGGGCAGCACCGCACACCGTACGAGTCTCGTGGCCGAGCATGCAGCGGAGGAGTGACCGCTGACTGTCGCGCGGCCAAGGGAGCGACCGAGCCATGGTATAGATGGCAGCTTGTAGACGTTTCGTGCAACAGCGGTGGTGCGGGACGTCCCCCCGCACGTTCACGAACGTTTGCTCTGTGTTGTTCATTCGCGTTTGCATCGAGAACATTGTTCGCGCATGCGCGTGATTGTTCGTGCCTCTCTATGGATGCCACTGCCATCTTCGTCGTCATCGTCGTCGTCGTCGTCATCGTCGTCGTCGTCATCGTCGTCATCGTCGCCGCCGTCGTCGTCGTCGTCGTTGTCATCGTTTTCGTCATCTGATGAGAGCCATAGGGCGGCAGGAAGTGCAGACTCCAAAATCTAGAAAATCTCCTCCGCGGCTGGAAAACGTCTGTTACGTAAGGGGGGGAAGGCCAGCTACCCGACCACCTTTCCATGGGGTGTCCTTGCTCAGAGGCCATGTGTCGCAGTCCTAGTCATGACTGCCAGGGCATCGATTCCATCCCTCACTCGCCGTCGTCGTTGCTTCGACGCAGTGGCGGGTTGCGCGGCGGACACATGACCGCAGAGCAGTAATCGGGAGCGGGTGTGGAGGTTTGAGGTCCTACAATTGGTCTACGGTGTGAAGGATTGCTACTGGTCACTGCTGGCATCTACTAGCTGTTCATTACTGTTCGTTGCTGCCCAATAGCTATCCACTACAGGCCTCCACTATCAATTGCTGTCCACTCCTGGCTCCCACTATCAATTGCTGTCCACTCCTGGCTCTCACTATCAATTGCTGTCCACTCTTGGCCCCCACTATTAATTTCTGTCCACTCCTGGCCCCCACCATCAATTTCTGTCCACTCCTGGCTCCCACTATCAATTGCTGTCCACTCCTGGCACCCACTATCAATTGCTGTCCCCTCCTGGCTCCCACTGTTCATTACCATCCTCTACTGCAACCCACTGTCCATTGCTGTCCACTTCTGGCACTCCATTGTCTATTGCTATCCACTAATGTCCATTACTGGCTTCCATTGTCCATTACTGTCTACCAGTGTCCACTATGGGCACGGACTCACTGTCCACTACTGACCCCACTGTCCAATACTGTCTACCAGTGTTCACTACTGACATGGACTTACTGTCCACTACTGACCCCACTGTCCAATACTGTCTACCACTGTCCACTACTAGCAACCTCTGATGACTGTTAATTACTGGTTATTACTGTTCACTATTATACACTACTGTCTCGAACGTTGGCCCAGCAATCGCCGGAATTTTACTCGGTCGCTGTCGCGCATTTTATCGCAGAACCGGACTCATGTCGAGGTCCCGTTGGGCCGCAGCAAGCAATGCTCTCATGTTTGTAAATATTTTCGCCGAGAGGTGGTGTAAATGTTTTTTTAGCGGACGGCTCGTCGCGGACCCCTCCCTTGGGCGGGCGTCAGTGAGTGTCAGCTAGGGACATCGCAGGAGGCAGTCGTTACCGGGAGAACCGAAAAGACTGGGAAGGTGCCCCCCTCCGATCATTTTAAATGTGAGCTTGCGTGGCGCCATCTATATATATATATATCGAGCGATTTACAAAAATTTGGCGCCGTCTTCCTCCCTGTATGACGGTCGGATGGCGGAGGGGAGGCCAAAACAGACGATTTCTCACGATTCTGCTTAATTTATCGGTGTCGCGTACGCGTGAAGTGCACACACCTGTCGTTAGCGCTGCCGCCGGCTTACACCTGTCTAAACTGTATTAGATAAATGTTTATCTAGATGGTTCTGGGCAGTTGTGAGACAAATAAAAATAAATAAATATATATCCTATATCAATCTATCTATATATATATATATATAAGTATATAAATAAATCGTGAAGAATGTGATCGCATAATGACGTTCGTCTTATTTATGTCTCGTGTTATATGTATCTTTACTGTTTTTATTTGTTTTTTGTATAGTTATTTAGTATTACACAAAAAAGCGCTCATGACATTCTAAGCTGCCAACATATGCAACATAGTTCACATGTAATCAAGTTCACACGTCTTGGTGCCCCTACTGTAAAAAAGAATTATAAAACGCATATGTGAATCGATCACTTCACCTGATTTACATGGGATTGTGTCACGCCGTTATAGCTACCATCAACCCTCTCCCACAACGTACGCCACCGTATTGATCCCCATTATAGTATATAACATCAAATGCCCAACATGTAACTTGCAAGCTACGCAGTACCTCGCTGACGAACGTGGTTCGGGGAACACACGGTAACATAAACAGACAAGGTAAAATGGACTCTGTAGAACTAGCTATGCTCGACATTCCCCGAAGCCTGTTACAGAGACTCAGCTGAAACCGGAGGCTGCTACAGAGATTCGGCTGATACCTGAGACTGTTACAGAGATTCAGCTGATACCCGAGGCAGCTACATACACTCAGTTGATACCTGAGGCTGCTACAGACACTCAGCTGATACCTGAGGCTGCTACAGAGATTCAGCTGATATCTGAAGCTGCTACAGAGACTCAGGTGATACCTGAAGCTGTTACAGAGATTCAGTTGAAACCTGATACTGTTACAGAGACCCAGCTGATACATGTAGCTGTTACAGGGACTCATTGATACCTGAAGCTGCTACAGAGACTCAGGTGATACCTGA